GGTGGCCGCCTCCGAGGACGTCGGGGGGGGAGGGGGAGGCACACGAGTGTCGCCGCTCCGCCCCGGTCCCGCCCATCACCGCTGCCACTTAAGCACCGTCGGGTTCCTCGCCGAGGCAGTGCGGTGCTGGGAGGCGGTGGTATCGTGAGCTCGTTATTTATCCCCGTCTTCGCTCCAAAATGACCGTGAAAGCAGCCGAGGCGTCTGGTCCTACCTTGACTTACTCGAAGATGAGGGGGATGGTGGCCATCCTCATCGGTGAGCGGCGAGAGGGGCTTCTTCGAGGATGCTCGGGTGGGGCTGTGTTTTTTCTGGCAAGGATGGCTTAACGATTTTATTTTCCCTTTCCCTGTCCTTTTACTTTGTAGCTTTCATGAAGCAGAGAAGAATGGGACTAAACGACTTCATTCAGAAGATAGCCACCAACTCCTATGCATGCAAGCAGTAAGTATCAGAAATTTTTGGCCGTATTTCAGTCACAAATATCACTACATATTGCGAGATCTAGTTAAAAGAAAAAAAAAAAAAGTTTGTTTACTGTAATGCCTCCGGCATGACTGTTACGGAAGGGTTAATTGATCTTCTTGAGGTATTACTCACTTGGCAACAATCTTTGTGAGCTGGGTTTGGGAGAAATAAGCTGGATGGGATTTCTAGTGACCCATCCCTATTTTGAACTGTACTTGCAGTATAAATACATTTCTTTGTATGACGGAATTTACTTTCCTCTAGGTTAATTTGACTCCTTAAGTCGAATAAATTGTTTCAGTTGTCTTCTGTAATTGCCCAAAAACTCATCTTTCGCGATACGTGCATGCCCTCTGGCGGAAAGATTTGCCTAATGCTTCTGGTAACTCTATGCATGCTCTTTCATTGCAGCCCTGAAGTTCAGTCTATCTTGAAAATCTCCCAGCCTCAAGAGCCTGAACTTATGAATGCTAATCCTTCTCCTCCGGTAAGTAGACTTTACTCAGTGAAGCATTTTTAGAACACCAAATCAGCCGGTAATAGAAGTGTAGCACAATTAGCATCATGAGTGTTACTGCAGTTCAGCTCATAGCACAGTGATGTAACTGGGAAAAAGAGTAATTGAGTTAGACCGAAACATTTTCTTTTCCCAACATGGAGAAGAAATTTTGAAAAAAAGCTTTATTAGTTGTTACTTCATTGTGGAATGTGGCTAAGACCTCAACAACGACTTTTAAGTAAGCTATGGCTGTTACACTCTTCTTGGGCAGTACTAATGTTTTAAGATACCTGGTAGAGGTCAGTGTTAATTCTTTAGTGGTAAGAAGAGATCTTAATTTTCAAGGTCACTTTATTTATATTTTTAAAAAAGACACATTGTCAAGACTTTCACTACCAAATTGTTTTAATAAATGTGGTTTCTGTCTGTTTATTTTTCTAGCCCAGTCCTTCACAGCAGATCAATCTTGGTCCATCATCCAACCCACATGCCAAACCATCGGATTTTCATTTCTTAAAAGTGATTGGAAAAGGCAGTTTTGGGAAGGTAAACTTGACTTTTGTGTTGTTGTTGCAGTTTATTTACCCTTCAGCTCTTGTATGTTATGCCCAAGAGTCAGATACTGACTTTGGTAAATGGTGGTCATTTAAAGCAGACCTGAGCACGTCAAGCTGCCCAGTGCCTGGCTCCCTGTGTAGCAGCAGGGAGAGGGAACAGGGTGCTGCATCTGAAAGGGTCGTAAGGGAGCCAGGGAGTGCAGTGCACTGGTGCTGGGAAGAATATATACTTTGCTTTTAGAAGGGAAAGAAACTAGGTGTAAAAACTTTGGGCTAGATTCGTCTGCCAGAATGGTAATAGTGTTTTCAGCAAAGGGCTTGCATGTTGATCCAGAGGTATGTAGCAGTGCTCAGCAGTTAACATAAAGGCTTGTTTCCAGTTGTGTTTACAAGTTATTCTGTATTTCAGTGTTGCTCAGTTCTGGGATTTTATCCTCTTTCAGGTTCTGCTTGCACGCCATAAGGCAGAAGAGCAGTTCTATGCTGTTAAAGTCCTGCAGAAGAAAGCAATCTTGAAGAAGAAGGAGGTAAGCTGCTTCTTCACGATGCCATTGTGATGTCCATCAAATCTATTTTTACTGCTATTACTAAGCAAGTGTACTAAACATTGATTTCTTATGCTTTCAGGAGAAGCACATTATGTCAGAGCGCAATGTTAAAAATGTGAAACACCCCTTCCTGGTCGGGCTCCACTTTTCCTTCCAAACCGCGGACAAATTGTATTTTGTCCTAGACTACATCAATGGTGGAGAGGTAAGCAGTAAGAAAATGAAATACTATTTCCTATCATGTGCACGGTGGTAGGGTAGACTTTTTCACATTTCCTTTTAAATAAAAAAGAGTTGCAAGGGGAAAAGTCAGGGGGGAAAAGTTACTAGATTGAATGTTTCCAGCCTGCCAAGTTTTGACCTACCAAAGGATCGTTAGGCCATTTCCTGCTATTGTTCTCCCTGCTATATATGTTGAGTCTAATTAAGTGCATTGTTAACAGGCTTTGGCGCCGTTTACACAACTTTGTTCTCTCTGTCTCCTGTAGTTGTTCTACCATCTCCAGAGGGAGCGTTGCTTCCTGGAGCCGAGAGCCCGATTTTATGCTGCTGAAATTGCCAGTGCACTGGGCTACCTGCACTCCCTGAACATTGTTTATCGGTAAGCAATCGTGGTCCGTTTGTCGGACTGAAAAAGCCACGTGCTTTTTCAATAAGCATTGAAAAGTTGATCTCAATATAAGCTCAGAATTGCTTTTAATATTTTTTTTGTGACTTAGTGAAATTCTGTAAGCAATTGCACCTGAAACATTCTCACTGTAGCTCCTCTAATGAACACTTGTCTGCTTTCATCTCTTCCTACAGTGACTTGAAGCCGGAGAATATCCTGCTCGATTCGCAGGGGCACATTGTCTTGACTGACTTCGGACTCTGCAAAGAAAACATAGAGCACAACGGCACGACCTCCACTTTCTGCGGCACACCAGAGGTACGGCCTGCCCTCAGCCCGCCGCTCCAAGCGCTGTCCTCGTCAGTGAAAACTGGCATCTCCCATGTGTATTTACAGCTGGTTAGACAAGCAGGGGGCATTAGGGGTCTTGTAATAGCAGGCTGCCAATGAGGACAGGTAGGACACATAGAGCTTGTTGAGCAGGAGAGAACAGCTCTCGAGCCGTCTCCCTGTTTGCAAAGAGCTTGTAGCTTTCCGGTAGCTTAGATATTGCTGGGATTCAGTAAGCTGCTTTTAGTCGAGAATGGGGAGGCTTTCCTAGTTACAAAGATCCCTTTGGCTAACGCGGCTCTCTTCCCTCTCTTACACAGTATCTTGCTCCTGAAGTTCTTCATAAGCAGCCCTATGACCGGACTGTGGACTGGTGGTGCCTTGGAGCAGTCCTGTATGAGATGCTTTATGGCCTGGTAAGCAACGAATCCTTCATGACAGATCCAATCAACTTACTTGTCCTTTCCCCACAAGAAACCCCCTGCCAGCCTGTCAGCCTCATTAACCTGGGTCTCTCCTTTGCCGTTCCCACAGCCACCTTTCTACAGCAGGAACACGGCAGAAATGTACGACAACATCTTGAACAAACCCTTGCAGCTGAAGCCAAATATTACCAACTCGGCTAGACATCTCCTAGAAGGCCTCTTGCAGAAGGACAGGACAAAGAGGCTTGGTGCCAAGGAGGACTTTGTAAGTGCAAACCAGCCAGTGCCTATAGGCGGCACAGGAGGGTGACTAGGCCATACTGATTACATTAGCTTGGGACTGAATTAATTAATCTATTTTTCTCTCTGTAACAGATGGAGATTAAGAATCACATCTTCTTCTCCCCAATTAACTGGGATGATCTCATTAATAAGAAGATTACACCCCCTTTTAACCCAAATGTGGTATGTATCACATCTAATTATAGAATGTATGGAGAGTGTCTTTTCCTCCCTTTGTTGTGGGGTGCCCAGGAGCTGAGGGGGACTGGCCGGATGGCCATGTTTGGGGAACACAGCTTTTCCTTCCCCTATGGCTGTCCAGGCAAGGTTAAAAAAATAAGCAGTCGCTGTCTTTTTGCTGATTGACAATCTAAATTTAGCTCAGGTTTTTGGCCTTTCTCATGATTCATTTGCATGGCTATTTTAAAATAATCCCTGGCATCCCCATTTTACCAGAGGGGAAGGTAAGGCCTAGAAAGCAAGTAGCTTCCCAAGGGCGGAGTTACATTTGCCTTGTCAGCTACTAAGATGTAAAGAGAGGGATCTGATTGTGGAGGTTGTTCTCTTTCACTTTCTGAACATTTTATAAACTAAATTTAATAACTAGCTCAGCGATCAAAGTCCTCCCCAGCAAACTGCTGCATGGCGGAGTGGCATGTTTGCATTTGGCTTCTGTTCCATGAGCTTAGTTGGAGGGTAGTGTATTAAATTGAATCATCTTGTTTTTAGCGAGACAGTATACAGCAGGATACAAAAACCCAATCAAACTAAAATTGGCAAAGGCTGTTAAAACAGTGGGCCCGGGGTGGTAACACTGTGAGTCTCCGCACAAGGGTGCTTGCTTGTCCTCATTTTGATTTGAACTGTGCACTCACAAAACATTTGGGTCTAAATGTTGCATCTTTCCTTTTCTGCCCTTTCCACAGAGTGGCCCCAGTGACCTGCGACACTTTGATCCGGAGTTTACAGATGAGCCAGTCCCCAACTCCATCGGGCAGTCCCCAGACAGCATCCTCATCACTGCCAGTGTCAAAGAAGCTGCTGAGGCTTTCTTGGGCTTCTCGTATGCCCCACCCGTGGACTCTTTCTTGTGAACATTTTTCCTTCTTTCTTTTTTAATAATAATAACTATTATTTTTATTTTTGTTTGGCCTTCTGGTGGAACTGCCAGTTGACCAGTCATCTTGAAAGAGAATTTGCACATTTCCACCATGGCAGCTTTGCAGCCTTAATTTCAACTACACTGTTTGCTGGAAGCTTTTTTGAAGAGCACATCCCTCTCTAAATGAGCTTTACAGGCTTTTCGTTTCCATTTGTTCTTCCCCCAAAGTGGTGCTGTCTCCTTGGGAAAGAAAAACAAGTGTGACTGCTGCTGTAGACTGCTACGGCAGATCATAGGAGTAAGAACAAGCTGTTTTGAAATCGTGCTCCGAAAAGCCTTGCCTGAAGATCTATCTGAACGTGATAAGGATTTTATGAAATGTGCCTTTTTCTGATGAGATCTTGTGAGCTCCAAAGCTTTCCCTGTTGCAGAGTGTGTTTCTCAGTTCATTTACGTGGGTTTACTATGTGAACAAATGGTATGCGTGTGGTCTGCGTACTACAGATGGACTTAGTTTAAGCATCAGTGTGACACTTGCAGGATACCACAATGTGGGGCATTGTTTGTTTCTTCCATATTTGGAAGATAAATTAAGTGTAATTTTGAAATTTCTTTTGTAAATCTATACAGTCAACTAAAAATACTGAAATGGGCTCACAATTACTTGTATCCAAATGCTTGAAGAAAGCATTGCTGCTATGAAAAAAGATTTCTATTTTTAGAAAGGGTTTTTATGGACCAAAATGCCCCAGCTGCAGTCAGTCAAAGCTGTTGGTTTCTTTTTTTTTCTTTTTCTTTAATTTCTTTTTTAGTTCAAAAGATGTCATCTGTAAAATGGGCATTATTTATGGTTTGGGGATTTGGGGTTTTTCATTCCTGATTGTATGTATTGTAAAAAAGATCTGTATATTCAGTTGTAACTCTAGATGTATATTTAAACTTACAGACTTACTTGTAATGTATACCATCATTGTAATGTAATATAATTAACATGGTTATATGTATCATATTTTTTTGTGACCAAACCCATTGGTTTGCAGTAAAATCCTAAAAAATACTTCCATAAACGCTGTCATTTTTTTTTATTTTAAAACAAAGATGTTTTCTCTCAAAAATTTTAGCCAGCTTTAAAAAAAAAAAAAAATTAAGAACACATCTGGGCTGCCAGTCAGCTAAGATACCTGTGTAATTTTGCTTATGTGTGTGATAGTTGTTCCATCAAACTGCACCCATACAAGTCTTATTGTGGATACACCTTGGCAAAATACTTGGTCATCCGACTGTGGGTGTTCAAATGGGTGCTCTTATGTGGTACAAATGCTCACGCTTCCTCAAAATGAGTTTCTCAACCTCTAGCAAAGTGAAGGTACTGCTCTCTGGTGTGGACAAAGCATAACTACACTTGAAGCATTAAGTCCTCAGGTCAGCTGTGTTACAAAGGGTCGAGCCATTTTAGCACTATGCTGCAGGCTGAACGCAGGTTGTTGTAAGGCTGAAGGAAACCCCCGACTTGGGAGTCCGTCCTGGGTTGCTGCTATGATGTGGGGCAGCCGGAGTGTGCATTACCCTGATGTGTTAGGCACCCTGAGTTTGCCAGTGCGCCAAAAGCTGTTATCGGGGAGGCGGTACAACTCACCAACTCATCATATGCTTACCTGGATGGGGTAAAACTGACTATTCATCTAAAACTGAGCTGTTAAATATAGGGTTTTATTACTGAGTACTACTGGGTGGTCTGCAAAAGGGCCTTTCAGCCAAGAATTAAGATAATAATTTCGTCTGGAGTGATCCCATTCAATTTCTTCTGCAACAGTGATGGATGGCTTCCTTCTATGAGGGCTTGGGCATCTACACTGTATTTACAGCTCCCATTATCTGCTGGTTACTGGAGTTGGTGGTCTCAGCAATTCAGAGAATCAAAATGAGCCATTGCCGAGAAAAACCTGGTCAGAGTCAGTCAACTGTTGCTCGGGCCATGCGATAACAGCAGTGTAAGCAAAGCTTTTATAGGGGTGATATTTCTGTTCATTATATTTCTGAGATAAAAGCATGCAGTAACTTTCTATCTTTTATTATCCATTGGATGTAGGAACAAAAAAACCTGTATGGCTTCAGCTATAAACTGTGTCTGGAGACCACACTCAGAGCTGAAAATGCTAATTTATAGCAGCCAAGAAACCTCTCTCCTTTCAGGTCATGTTAGTATATGAAAGAGATGCAGCCACCACCCCCTGAAACGCCAACAACCCCAAATTCATGCGTTCAGTAACTCTTTGAACAGCATACTGACAGGCCTTGCAAAGTCTTCCAGTGCTATAATGTGCCTGAAACATCTTTTGTGCTGATGACTTGTAGGCTAGAGATGTTAAATACATAATGCTAATTTGCTCCTGTAGAAAATGAACGTGCACTTGCTAAGCGGCGAAGTTTTGCAATACGCATTATCTTTGCCTCACATTTTCCAGGCATTAGCAAGGTGCTACGTGCTGATACGTGAGGAGAGGACTGCAGCCCTAGAGCAACAAAATGTTAAATACCATCTATCGTTTTCAAGAAAAAAAACAACTGCGGTCATTAATAATGAAGAAGTATGGAACTTCAGTGACTCAGAGGTGTACCTTGGGTACTTTTCATCTTTGCCAAGATGTAGGGTATTATTTCAATGTGTTCCTTTTAAAAAACAACGTCTGATTGTAATTTTAACTGTTCTACTATGCTTAGGCTCATTATGCGGCTGCTGCTTTGTGCAAAAGTCTGCAACTGCTAGCAATGAATATTCAACACATGCTGCATCAATTTTTTAGTGTAGAAAAGGTGAAAAATTTGTCCATGTTTTTAATCTCCCTGAATTTGATATATTACAAGTCGTGCCTGAAGGGAGGGAGTCTATGGCAGTCAGCTGTTTTTTGGGCTTGTTTGTTGTTTTGTTTGTTTTACACAGTTCCCTGTCTGTAAGGTCTATATTTCCTTAAGAGAAAGGTCTCTGGACTGAGAAGCAAAGGGCTAGGACTCCTGAAATCCCAGCTGACATAGCTGTTATGCATTATTTTGACTGAGCTGAATCCGTGGTTTAATTACACCCATTTGTAAAATGGAAGTAATCATCCAAATTTTCTGCTAGTGGCCGTGTTGTAACTACCACCAACTTGGGTTGCTTTACTTAGCAGAACGGTTGACCCAATGAACCTTAAAACAGATGTTATATGGTGTTTTGTATAGTGAGTGTGCCTGGGCTCTCATACGTCCCTTGGATGCAGTGTATTGATGATACTCACATAAACATTTAAATACATATATTCAGACATTTCACATAGTTTTGTCTGCATTACTTATCTCTGTATACCATAAGCCATGAACCATTTCATAAGCCTTACAAAGATAAGTGAAGCTTCTTAGCGACAGTATTTTTCTTGTGCTCCCTGTACACTCAACAGGCAGTTACTTCCGAAGGGCAGTCTGGATTTTAAGCAAGTTAAGCAGGAGATGCTTGTTTCTCCCCCAAAAGATTTTCAAAAAGTAGTCTATGCCCAGCTTCCGTACACCTCTCATAAAGAGCCTGTAGAAATTAATGAAGAAAACCAAGACTCTTGTACAGCCTTGCACCTCCAGTGAAACACTGCTACAGAGAGCTGAAAAAAATGAGGGCCACTGCTCAGAAAAGAGCTTTGGGTAGTGGTCCTAATTGTGCATCTTACCTGGGGTACCTAAAGTTAGGTTCGATGAGTCCTGGCCCATCTATACTCTTCTAAAAAGTGAAATGAAATATTCCACGGCATTACTTCCCTCTGCAGAGGTTTTTCTGATACCATGTGGCTATAGTTACCCTAGTAGAGCTAGTAAGATGGCTTATAGTAAAGATGGTTTCTGACATTCCCCACGTGTACAGTTTCTGCTAACAAGACCAACATATAAAGATAGGGATAAAATTTTCCATGCTGGCTGGAACTGTCTATGGAAAGTTTCCACAAAAATGCTTCCAAAACTACTTTCCAAAAAATGAAGTGGGGAAAAAAAAAAAAAAAAAAAAAAGGTTTGCTATTCGAAAAAGAAAACTTTAAACAGTTAATACATATCCGTATTGCATTTATGTTTTGAATCAATTTGGCCAGCAGATTGCATTAAGTGTTAGGTAAGGCTCTAAATGAAAGTTCTCTTCTTTGAGAGACTGAAATCAGTAGTTTGTGACTTTTCTGTACAGGTATGGGCACTATAATCACTACACGTTCCTGTTTGGTCACCTGCAGTTGTATGAAGTGAGTTTTCCAATTTTGGATGTTCGCAAGCCCTGGAGAGAGCAGGGGCCTGTTGTTTACTCAGGGGTTTCCTCCTGCTCCATCTGTTGGAGTAAAGGAAAAGAGGAAAGGGGGGGGGGGGAGAGTGGAGCCGTCTGTGCGTGGCGACAGAGCAAGTAAAGCAGGGAGAGAGCCTGAGCGCTGAGGTGCCTCCTGCTGGGGTGTCAAAAGGCTGACGAAGGGGGTCAGCACCCCCGCACGGGTCGGTCCCCGCTCCTTGGCCGTGGTGCCGCCGGCCCAGCGCAGTGGTGGCGGCGCTGCCCTG